CGATAAGAACAATGGCGATTCAAAGGCAGATTAGTTAAGAGTGCAATTTTGTGCTCTTTTAATTATTTCACGGCTCAAAATAGTATATCATTGACATCCTGGCCAGGTGGTCACCAACAAAGTCTGTCGCATGACTTCCATATATGTATGTCCATGTACCGGGTACATGTACATGCCTGTATAAGGGTCCAAAGTCCACATCGAGGGTTTATCCATGATTACGTAAATGTACATACACGTGGCTAYAATTAAAGTAGATGTAGACAATATTCCCAGTACGTTTTCCAATGYAAAACTTTAGATAGAAACGTTAAATGTTGTTGAAATTCAAATGACGTTTTGCAACGTAAAACGTTAATGGTTGTAATGTCGTTATGTTATTGACTATTCTCACAATTCTAGTGGAAGCCTCGAATTTATATGTAAATTGATTAGTTATCCTATTGTTGTCTATCTTTTGATAAGTTCACTCAAGCAAACTAACATATCATGGCTCGTGGATTATGTCTCTTTTTTTCCAGGGGTTAGGTAATAATGCGTTGCTATGGTGGTTCGAATCTTCATTCTCATCGTTAAACATCTTTTGTTAAACTTTTGAAAATTTTATTTAAATTGTCAAAGTTCTTCTTCACATATAATAATTTTGTACACGAGACCATCCCACTACACGTGCATCCATGTACTACCATATACGGTGGCCGTGCCTGTGGTCACTTGAATAATTTGAGTTTGTGTTTTCTGACTCCCACTTTGACCTGCGTGTCTATGCTAGGTCTTGCTTGCAAACCTTCMCGATTTTTTCTCTGTAATGGCTAAGAGAGTAGCAGTAATTGGAGCTGGTGCAGCCGGATTAACGTCTATAAAACACGCTCTTGATACCGGCTTTGAACCMACGGCATAYGAGAAAGATTCTTGGTTTGGAGGTATTTGGTATTACACAAAAGATGAACATCGGTTTGCTGCCCCGAAATCAACAGTTTTCAACACAAGTAAACACTTCTCTTGCTTCAGCGACTTTCCATTTYCCAAAGAGACGCCAAACTACACACCAAGGCACGTATTCCATCAGTATTTAGAATCTTACGCCGAGAAGTTCGATCTTACAAGAAGAATACGATTCAACAGAGAAGTCTTGAAGGTAGAGAAATGTAAAGATTATGAAAAGACTGGTAGATGGGAGATCCATTCAAAGACGTCTGATGGCAGTGGAAAAGAGAACGTTTGTATTGAAGAGTATGACTATGTGATGGTTTGTAGCGGTACATATTCCAACCCATTCGTTCCTAAGATAGCAGGCATAGATGCCTTTACTGGTACAGTGATTCATAGCAAATCTTACAAGACTTACAAACCTTTTGAAGGAAGGCGAGTCTTGGTCGTGGGGCTTGGAAATACAGCAGGTAATATTTCAAAACAGTTTAATGAGGGTACTGAAGGGGTAAAATGGGACTGGGATTTGCTTTATTTTGGACTGGGAAAATGGGATATAATGCACTGGGACTGGGATTTGATGCACTGGGAATGGAATTTGATGCACTGGGACTGGGATTTGATGCACTTGGAATGGGATTGAAAAATACAAAAACAATAGAAAATGGGAATGGGATGGAAAAATTGAGCAAAACCGATGGGATTGTGTAATTTTTGACTGGGATTTCGCCTAATATATAAAATGGGATTCGGATCCCCCCTTCAGGACCCTCTTTTCTGCCTGTCCCAACGTACAACTGATTTATGCATGCATTTGTCTACTTGTGGTGACGTTAAGGCCACTGCAAATGCACAAGGTTTGCTTGATAAGATACAGAAAAAAAAGACCATMAATTATACTTTCATTAATGACAGATTCGACAGTGGCTCACGATACTCTCTCTCTCCGTAACGGCTGGAAACGTGTCACGCATGTCTGTGAGAGTCTTTGACGTTTCAGAAACTTCTTAGCATGATAGTACTTACTTAAATTTGTGGCATTATTTTCTATTTGATATCACATTTGGATAGCCAGATCTTTATTTTTCACAGGTTTAATGACTTCAATCTAGCGACACGGTGTATAATTCACAATATCAAGAAGAAGAGAACGATACCTCGTGTAGCAAATATTTATAGTTAGCGCCCGATGTGCATGACGGTACAAGTGCCGTATACAATTTTTGATGGCGAAAACAAAGAAATCCAYTGTTTTAGCAGCGAAAGCAGTGCATTGTGGGTGGATAACATTAAGATCAKCTCGTGACCTTTCCGTACGTCTGTGTGCGGTTGTCTCCATGTCTCCATATTTTCTGAATTAGGAACGCTTCCTTGCCTCGRACGCTTCAGACGCGCTTCGCTGCAGCAGCAACAAAAGACGAGATGCAAAAGACACCTTTTTTTGTTCATGTTTTCTTAGTTCAGATTTCTCATAGTTATGAGGTGAAATAGTAAAGCTCTCACATTAAGAGTCCTGATGAGAAAGTTCTTTGTGCTATTACTATTAGATTGATTCCATAAGTCGTAGTATTCGCTCCTTGATTTTTCAGTTTGTCGCTCAAACTAGCGACTCGGACATTTTTGAGCGACAAAAAAAAAATATCGACAGAGTGGGAACTGGTACCGAATGGAATGGAATCAGTCTATTAACAGGAAGCCCAGGCTTCTCTGCTCGATAAAAAGGCCCTGGTAACGAGGTTGCGCGCTCTGCAGAAGTCTATGCCATTAAAAGGATGAAAAGTATATAGTCTTCAAAAAGCGGAGCTCAAAAATTCTCAATTCTCAAGCTTTGTGTAGTGCTTCCAAATGCTRCTATCTCTCTTGACAGAAGAGGGTTATGAAGTAATTAGTATATTACCGCGTTATTCAGTATGTACAGTGACGTGCTATTTTTACTTAGAAACTATTTTAAAATTATTCAATTYTTTATTTAGGTGACATAGCCTGTGAACTAAGTAGACACTCCAAGCAGGTCTATGCCAGCACTAGACGAGGTACCTATGTAGTTCCACGAGTGACAGCTGGTAAATTACCTGAGCTTAAATTCCTCAACAGAGCAGTTCAGTGCCTCCCTAAATCTCTTCTATTGTGGCTTTTAAAAAGATCTGTGTCTTCATTGTACAACCTCCCGGAACTTGGCCTCGAACCCATTAGTGATGAATCATTATCTTTGCTCTTTATCAATGATGACCTTCCTAATCGAATTGTKACTGGAACAATAATTATGAAGGATGAAATTGTTGGCTTTAAAGATAGGAGAGTGTTCTTCAAAGATCACACAGAATTGGATGACATCGACGATGTGATTTTTGCCACTGGATATGATGTTTGTCTTCCTTTTCTACCGGACTCCTTGATGAATACAGACACAGCAATGTCAGGTCATCATTCTTAYAAGGCAGTGTTTCCCCTCGGTCTTTCTCATCCAACACTAGCTCTCATTGGTATTTGTMGAGTTGCGGGAAATGGGAGTGTGATTCCGATAACAGAGATGCAAGCTCGCTTCGCCATGCAAGTCTTTACAGGAGAATTCATCTTGCCAAGTAAAGAGTTGATGAAGAAAGAGGTTGTTGAAAGGAGGGCARCATTAATCAAGACTGGAGGGCAAAAAGCAAGTTCTAGTTCTTATGTAGTAAGTGTTTTGTAGTCTGCGTTCTTCTACGTTATAATTTRATAACCCTTAAAGCAAACTGTCCTTAAGCGTGAGTTTGTTTCTGTTATGAAATACAAGTAATATWTTTTTTTGTTTTAGCAAAAGGTGTAAACTTCTCACACTTGCTCGTTTTTTTTTCTGTAAAAATGTTCCATAAGATCGAGAAATAATATAATGTCGTTACCCACCTCAAACTCAGAGACATTTTTAAAAAGACGCGTAAATGCATTAGCTGCGGTCTTTTATGTCAATTTTACTCTGTCTACCGTCTCAGCCCCTGATGATGTACGGTAGCCAGCGCATTTGGCCTCCCTTGCCTTCCCCAGTTTACCATTATCCGCTCCTTCCTTCCCTACGAGATCACCACGCGACATTTTATCGACCTCGTTCCACGTAGGTTACGTAAATTTGGCTTTTTTACCATTTTTATTCATTTCATTATTTCTTCTATTTCATTATTATTATTTTCTTTCTTTTATTCGTCTGTTTATTCGTCTATTTCTTAGGTATCTTAATAAGTTTAGATCTTGAAATAAAGTTAATCAAAAAGACAAACGCAACTAGATTCATTTTTGCGACGTTTCGACATCCTCTGATGCCATTCTCAAGCAATTGCGAAAAACTATTGTTTCATGTGTATATATAGCTCTTCAGTTGTAATAAATTCAACATTGCTTGAGAATGGCATCAGAGGATGTCGAAACGTCGCAAAAATGAATCTAGTTGCGTTTGTCTTTTTGATTAACTTTATTTCTTAGGTATATCATTTTTTTTATTTCTATCTCTTATTCTAATATTCTAATCTCTCTAACAATTTCTCTTACTATTTATAATTATTTCTAATCATTCCTCCCTCACCCATCTCCCTCATATTACATATCATCATTCACACAGACAAATTATCACTCACTCAGAAAAAAAGTTGACTTGTTTAATTCACAGAAGCATGGTGTCAGTATCCTCGCCATTTGTCATCATCAGTCAACACCAGCAAAAGTAAAACACAAGCAAGATGGTTAATTTGCAATAAAATTCATGGCCCTCATAGACGACTGCACGGCATGCAATTTTTTTCTAGGACCTCGACCATTTTTCTTTGAACGAAAAAGTATGACCCCACCCTATTTGCATCACTCCACCATCCCCTTAGTTAAGAAATGGTTCCTAAATATCGTTAATATCATGAATGAATATCTTTCTCTTCTTTTAGCTAGAATGTTTTGTTAAGTACTTGGACGACATTGGATCCTTAATAGGAGTCAAACCCAACTTATGGAAACTGTTTTTCCAAGATCCTAAGCTAGCAATAAAGTGTTTCTTTGGTCCAGCTATCCCAGCACAGTACCGTCTGATGGGACCAGGGGCGTGGTCCGGGGCCAAAGACGTCATAGAGGGCGTGGAAGAAAGCAGGTTGGCTCCATTGACAACGAGGAAGGTTTATCGCACATCGAGAAGCTCATCAAGATTGTTTGTGTGTGTTGTGTGTAGTGTTGTTGTATTGTTGATAGCTTTATTGGTATTTTAAYAGATTTCAAGTTTTATAGAACTGAAAGAAGCATAAAATCCATAGATTGTAGTGTTACATTAATTTATGATTTTCGTCTGCAGACGTAAAACTAGTTAAACTTTAAGTAATCTAAAAACTTAAAAAACTGTAAACATTTCGTCATCCTCACTATTGAGATGGAGATGATTTTGTATTGAAATCAGGACCTTGTTTAACATATAAAACTATATGTGGAGCAGAAAGCATTAATATTTTAGTTTAAAAACGTTCTTAAGAAATGCTCAATCACGTAATATATAGTGGAAGCAAATTTTATATATACACATCTATTTTTTAGTATAATTTTTGTATTCAGAATTAATATCATTATTCATTTATTTTATTCTGTTTTTAGTTAAATTAATTGAATATACTGAAATTGTAACAAAACTATGCTGAGAAAATAAATGTATATTTATTTGTTCAAATGATGATTGTGTACTTATATAATTAATTGCATGATATTGCAATCATTTCAATAATTCGYTGTTGTGAGAGAACGGCAAACGGGTATTGTCGAAGGCGGGGATTGCACGACCGAAAGGAACTGTAATAACGCTGTTTTGATACTTAAAAATTGCACTTATTGGATTCACTTTGCAAAGAAAATTTGAAGACTAAATGGAGCATGTTTACCTAAAGACTTTCTTACAGCATAAATCAGTTATTATTTCCCTGTTAGCAAAGCCCATGGCTCCTTTCGGTCGTGCAATCGACGTTCTAGTACAATTGACATTCAGCATTTTATCCGTGCCATCAGCAGAGGAATTTTTCCACACTCTTTTCGCAGGATATTTTATCCGACAAACCTTTTTTGAA